AGAAAGCCGCCCGGTCCGGGACTTGATCTGTGGGCAGCCATGTGGGAGTCCAGTGCCCTTAACCTCTACGCCACCTACTGGCTCCTGTTACTATTTTTTAAAAAAATGTTTTTGCCATAGGGCGCGTATGCTCACCAGAGAGCGAGACAGTGAGAGGGAAAGTGAGAAATCACCCCCACGTGGGGATGGCCACGTCGCCATTCTTTCTCCTCCTGGGACTCTCGGCATGGACGCACATGTGCCGGATGTGAGTTTCATGCCACTGGATCTGGGATTCAAATGTGATCAGCCATGTGTGTCCAGGCCTTAACCACTATGTCACCTGCTGGCTCCTATTATTATTATTTTTTAATGTGACCAGGGAGAGACAGAGAGAGAAAGTAAGTAAGCAAGCCACCAGCTCTGGGACTCGAACCATGTTCGGCCATGTGAGAGTCCAGTGCCTTAACCATCGCACCTGCTGTGGGCCTCTTGTTTTTGTTCTTAATTTGCCAGAGGGTACATGTGCTCACCAGAGAGAGACAGAGAGATAGAAAGTGAGAAAGCACCCCCCATGGGGACTGGACACGCCATAATCCCATCTCCTCCATTCTCTAGGAATTTTTGCACGCCCACGCCTGGTGTGTGTCTCCACCCAACAGGTCTGGACTTGAACCTCATGGTCAGCCATGTAGGATCCCGCTGCCTTAATGGCTCCACAGGCTGGCCCCAGTTTACATTTCCTATAGTCTCTGCTTTTTTTAGCCTCCTCCATAGAGCTTGCTTCACTCTGGGGACTTGACTATCTTGGATAACTGAGGCCTTAGTCATACAGATCACTTGTTCTCTCAAATCACCTGAGGTGTTTAACTTACCCTTGTGTTTCCCTTGAGTGATGTTTGTATGTGTCATATGAAGGGCACCTTTTTATACGCTTTGATTTCCACACTTCCGACTCATTTAGATGCTACTGGAGAAATGAAGATGAGCTAAGTTTCTGGAGTCCTCAGCTGGAACCAGCTATACTACCACTGGGGCCTCATTAAAGGAGGAGTGTGGTGAGGCTGCACCCCAGGCCTGAGTCCTGCGCGAGTCTCTCCCCTTCTCTGGCCTGTTGTTTCCTCGCCTGAATCAGTAGGTGACGTAAGGTTTCGCGATTCACATGGCTGCCTTGGGGGTAACTGGACAAGTTAAGTCAAGGCTGAGGTCACCTCGATTTTTCACTGACCCTGCACCAGAACAGGGCTCCTCAGTCTGTCCTAAGGGGCCTCTTGGGCCACTTGGATTAGCTGAAATGATGGGGAGACTGTCATTCTCCCTGGAACTTCTGACTGAGTTCTTCTCTGAGATGAAGGAAGAGTGTCCTCTCCTTCTAGGAGACATATTTCCTGAGACTTGGTCCTTGGCATTTTCAGATTTATTTCTTCTTGAAGGTAGATGCCACCCCTAGATAAGCAAGTACACTTTGATTTTGCCGGGTCACCTTGGGAAAAGCAGTCAGGCCAGCAGAAGTGAGACTTTGATTTATGGAGGGGCTCTTGGTGCCAGTGGGCCCATGCACTCTGCAGTCACATCATTCCTGGGCTTCATGGGGATTTGGGAAGCTCAGATTTATAGAGGAGTAAATTCCTGGGCGGCTGTACCTCCGCCCTGAACTTTGGGATCCCAGAAAGGCACAGCTGCAGGGGACTTAGAGGTTTTCATGGCCTGCTCCTGACACAGCTTCCCGAGGTATCCAGCTGATAAGAACCTAGTTTTGTTACTTGTTTGTTTCCATTTGTTTAGAGAGTGACAAATTGCTTTTCACCAGACAGGCAGCTAGACACTTATGTGGGTACTGGACCTCATCGCTGATAAATGTGTTTACATAAACAGTCTCGTTCAGTTCTTGTGACAACCCTCTTGGCTTGGAAAAACTCCCCATTTTACAGACTCGCCTAGTTTTGGATGGTGGGAAAGCTGAGCAATCTTGAGGGGCAATTTTGCCATAGCTCTTTCTCCCCCAAGGGCTAGAAATCAAGCTTAGATCTAAACATTTAACCAAAGGCTGTTTAACAATAGTTGTGTTGTATAGACTGTTATCTGTATGATCAACTATATATATTTCTGTATCTATCTACGTGTATACACACAGGTGGTTGATTATAGTTGCTACATAGTGGATAGACGCAGTATCTTGTCATTTAGGACAGTTTGGTTGGTTACACTCCCCCTTCCCCCCAGTCAGAGAGCTAAAGGAGGGTTGGATGGGGGAAATACCAGGTGATTCTCTTGCCTGGGAGGTTTATTTGCCTCTGGGGGGAAAAAAAAGCCATTTCATTCCACTTGATCACTGTGGTAGGACTGTGAGGCCTTCTCATCTGAAATTCTGAGTTTCATTTGCCTTTGACCATTGGGGCATTGTCCTCTTCCATTTCTCTGGCTGATCTTCTCCCTTTATCACTATTTCCTGGGCATCTCTATCTGGTGGTCCCAGTGGCCCTTAGAATTCAACCTGTCCTGGCCAGCAGGTAGCGTGGTGAAGGCTCTGGACTCCCGAACCTGGCAGCTTGCTTTCTCACTGTCCTCTTTCTCTCTGCCTGCCTCTCTCTGGTGAATGGATGTGCACTATAGCAAACAAAATAATAATAATAAATAATAAAATGAAATCATAATTTAAAAACATAAAGAATTTAACCTGTCCCACAGTGTACCTCATCAGCACCACCGTCTGTCTGGTCTCCAAGGTACAAATCTGGTGCCACCCTTGCTTCTTGTCCCCCTCCACATCCAATCAACCACCAGCTTTCGCTACAGCCTCTAAAGTGTGTAGGCCCACCTGCCGTCTCCTCCAGTCTCATCTATCCCTATGATAAAGTCTGTGCTGTTTCCCTCCTGTTTCTCACCTTCGTACCTTGTCTTGGATCAGGAATATCCTTTGCTTCTTCACATGGCCAATTTATTATAATTGAAGATCAGCTCCAACTCTCTCCTCCCTTGGGAACCCCCTCCTTGACCACCCTCATCCAAACAGCCGCTGTACCTGCTGTCAGTGCATGTAACTCCTGGTGGAGCCGTGGCTCACTGGTATGCCTCTCTCCCCAGCCTGTGGACATTTTGAGGACTTGGCCCATCCACTCTATTTTATTTTCTTCATCGAATTTATTGCAGTCTGCAAGGTGTTTTTTTTTTTAATTAATTAATTTATTTATTTTTTCTTTTAAAATTTATTAACATTCATTCACTATACATCATTACAGCATAACAA